CCCCAAAACCCCAAAACCCCAAGTGGTAAAATTATGACATAAAAAAAGAGTAAAAAATAGAAGTGATAGAATTGTAATCAATATAATAAATAATAATCGTAATATATATTCTTGTATGCAATATTTATTAAACATACTAATATTTATTAGCATTAGAAAAATTTAAGACAATGAGTTTATAAATGAGTATAGGAGAAGAAAGCAGTTCTTCAGAAGATGAGTTTCATAAAATTAATAAGTAGCTCGCAGGTCTATTTAAAGCATAAGTCAAGTTACCATTACATTTGGCTTGTAAGCAGAACTTGAAAAAGGTAAAGTGCAAAATTGATGCAACTAGAAACGAGCCGACCAAAAAATAAAGACAAAAGACCAAAAATTAAGAAACTGATGATAATCATTAATCTGATAGTGGGTCAGACTATGAGTTACCTAGAGAGTAAAGACATGTCATCCCATAACTCAAAGATAATGAGTATCTTAGAATGTTTTAAGGTAAAAACCCAATGCATGACTGTGACCGTGAAAAAGCATCATCAATTATTTCAAATTTAATACTTCCTACTAAATAATAGTTATAAGCGAACCCCTACCTAAATAAAAGTAAACTTGAAGAACCTAATTTTGAATTATCTGACGATCAACTCAAGGATATGTCATAATTACCAGACTCAATCAATAATCTAAAACTTTCAAAATCAAATGCCAATAAAAATATAGAGTTTAAGAGTAGGAATCTTATAATGGGCGCCTTAAACTTGAAATAAATAAAAAATGGGGCTAGCTCATCTATAAATAGGCTAAAATCATAAGTTCCTTAAGAAACCATAAATGACGATTTAAAAGGTATCTATTGTGACTAAAAGAACATGACAGCTTATCCAACATTAGATAAATAATAGAATAAAACTTATATGACAAGCAAAAAAGATTAATCTCAATCATAATTGACGGAAGAGATAAGACAATTTTCAAAGCACAAGTTATCGAGACAATTTATTCTAAAACTTAGAGAATATGAAAAATTTAGAAAGTAAAACAAGCTTCACGAATTTAACTTAAATTCTTTGTAACTTAAGGATAAGTTGTACAGATACAAAAATCAGATGGATGGTTTTTAGGGTAATGAGGACAATGCTAAGGAAGAAAATTCTTTTAAAAAATTGAAGTGCTCAGATAAACTTCTGAGATTCTAATAAGATATACCTGTGTATCTTAAGGACAAAGCGAGAAATAAGTTTTGTATATAAGAGCGTGACATATCACCTATTTTTCATTAAAAGGAAGAGACTCCAGAGATGGATGTAGGAAAGCTATTTCACATTGGCGAATATCTAAAAGAAAGCAAGTCCAGTTATCAAAAAAATTACAATTTCAATGGATACGATTCTTTAGGAGCAAAGAAAGGTTTTAACCACATAAAATCCTAAAAAACTTTTTCTACAAAAGATAGTGATTCAGAATATTGTATGTTCAATCTTCCAACAATCAATGATAAAGGAGAAAAATCCACTAAAGCTTAGGAGACTTCTTAAAACTTCAAACAATCAGAGTCTACTCTAAGATTAAATAAAATTCTAAAAAAAAGTAAAAGGCTAATTGATGTTGATGGTAAGAACAATATCTCACAGATGCTTCAATCTTTAGAGGATCTACAAGATAAATAAGATTAAATAGCTATTGATATTGAAGAAGACCTATTCAAGACCCCTAATAAGTTGTAATCTTAGAAAAATAGATTAAATTAAACTATTATCATGCAACCAACTTAAGGTAGAGATTAAAGTATAAATGATGATGATTACAGAGCATAGTTTAAAAGGAAGCAAGAGATCTGGGTAATTAACTCTATGAAGAGTATAGAATCTAAGTATCAATAGATAAATTACAGAGCTATTTAACTAGATTCTCTTAAGAAACATAATTAAATTAGACCAATACAGATTAGCAAACTCAAATCTAACAAAATATGAAAGATAAAAGTATACCTGCATATGTAAATTCGATTACCACCTCGAAATATATTTAAATTTAATTAACCTTAGACAATTATCAATACCCTTTAATTGTTAATTTCACAAATTTATCTTCTTCTTCATCTCTAGGGGTTTTGGGGTTTTGGGGTTTTGGGGTTTTGGGGTTTT